TTCTTTCAATGATAAAGACCCTGGAACGTGTTATACTGTACATAGTTTAGGTTAAGTGTACCTGTCAGTTCTATAGACTTTTATTTTCAGTGGAAACAGATGTTTTATAGACCTTTCACTTACATGATCAGAATATTTGTGAAAACCATAGTAAAATAAAATTACTGGATCATTTAAACCATCAATGTTAAGCAGAATTCCCCATTCACTTTGAAGAGTGGGATAGTGCTTTAATATTGATGGCATGATGTGGCTCACAGAATTTTGCATTTATTTGAATCTATTGGACATGAAAAGATTCCAGTTTCCTAGGGGAAAATAATTATTTGCATAACATTCCAGGCTAGAGTCCAATCTCATTTACAGGGTGTAAATGCAGCGGGACATCATTCAAGCTAATGGAGTCAAGTATCAGAGGGGTAGCCATGTTAGTCTGGATCTGTAAAAGCAGCAAAGAGTCCTGTGGCACCTTATAGACTAACAGACGTATTTGAGCATGAGCTTTCATGGGTGAATACCCACTTCGTCAGATGCATGCTAATGGAGTTACTTTAGTGTAAATGCTGTCTAAATTTGGCCCTCTGTGTCACAAGTGTGATGCTTGCATTTAACTTTTAATTCTTGCTTGAAAATAGTAGATCAAAGAATTCAAAACAACCTTGACAAATTGGAGAACTGTTCTGATTTAGACAAGTTGAAATTAAATAAAGATAAGTGCAAAATACATCCCTTACTAAGGAAAAATCAAATGCACAACTACAAAATGGGGAATAACTGACTAGGTGGTAGTACTATTGAAAAGAATCTGGGGGTGATGGTGGATCAAAAATTGAACATGAGCCAACAATGTGATGCAGTTGTAAAAAAGACTGAGATCATTGTGGGGTGTATTAACAGGCGTGTTATTTGTAAGACATGGGAAGTAATTGTCCCGCTCTACTTCAGCTGGAGTCAGGGTCATCCATAGGGGGGAGCGGGGCCTGGGACAACCCCCCCCCCCCGTTATCCTCAGGCC